TCTTTCTCGCTCACTCTGACTTCGCTTCCTCTCCCTCGCGCCCGAGGATTGTATCATCCGTTTAGCCTAGCGGGCCGGTTGTGTGTGCGCCGAAACAACTGATTAATATGGCGAACAGCATAGCACCAGACTCGTGGGAACAGCAGGCGGACACGAACGGCGACATCGTCGGCCCACCTACGTCGCAGGACAAGTCCATCGAGAGCAAATTCTCCACCCTGAATGTCAACGCTGCGGAATTCGTGCCTTCCTTCTGCATCAACTCGTCGCCGCAGAGCAACGTCGCCGCGACGGCGACGACGACGGCGGCGGCCGACAGCAGCCCCTGCAACGTCGCGACGACGACGACCACCTCCGTCTCCGCTACCGCCGCCGCGGCCGCGGCCGCGGCCGCCGCTGCCGCTGCCGCCGCCGCCGCAGCAGCAGCCGCTTCCTCCGCATCCGCCACGATGAACACTGTAACCATCACCTCCGTGCCCGTCGAGATACATCATGGTCAGTACCGAGCCAGCTGATCGCGGGATCAAATCCCGTACGGGAGTCACGCCGTGTTGTGATGCACGCGCGCGCGGCCCCTTATTCGCGACTAACCCCCTTCGTTATCATGCTCGCAGTCTCCGCGGCGGATGATCAAATATGCGGATGAACATCCCGTTTGCATTTTGCATATATTTCGCGATGCTCCTACGGGGATTAACTCTGCGGAGTACCCTCGTCAAGTCTGTGTCCAGACGTCTTTAGATACCATATGGTTTCATTTACTTATGAGGGAACTCTCCGTTCCGACCTCATGTTGGATTGCGACTACTCTTTTATGTTAACATCACTTGCCGAATGTGCAATTCGATTATTGCACCATTGTTAGAATTTGATACTGAGACCTTGTGTGATCAAACTGTAATGCGAGAAGCGAGAGATAGCGGAAGGGATTATAGTTGCATGTCTTCCACTATCAGGTGTTTAATTATGACTGGTCTAGCATAAAGACATTCCACTGCTTGTTGAGCATTGGACGACACTTGACACGCTTTGCCTAAAAAATGAAGTCTATTTATAAATGTACAACCTTTGACATTTATAATGTAGAAAGTTCTATTATTCATCTATATATCCAGTTTCAATACAGTTAATAAAAATATTTTATCAAAAGATATATTCTAGAAATATATGTAACTGTAAACAATATTAGAGACTACATATTGAATCGATATTTTGTGATTGTGACAAAGAAAACTAAGAGTTGTCTACATTTATGTCACACTTGAATTTAAGAAATATTTAACTAGTTTCTTAGATTTTATGCAGAAAATTATTATAAATATCTGAGGAGAAGGAAAAATTAATATTAGACTAATTGATAAATTATTTTCATGGAAAGTATTAAAATAAGGTTTAGATTCGCAAACAACTTGTAATTAAAAATATTTAATATATAATTTTTTTATAATTATTCAAATCTATTATCAGTATTTTGAATATGTACTTTTTTATAGGAAATTCTACTCCTGTTGTTCTATCAGATCCAATCGGCAGTCGAGTTGAGGAGCCTCCTGCTGGGGGAGGGGCTCCACCGCCGAATGTCAATGACCAACTAAATACCAGCCCGGAGCACCAACCTGCAGATTCTTGGGAAGAAGCAGCAGTGGATGGAGATCCTTTACTTACTCCAGAAAACGAGGAAGTAGGTATAAATTTGACTGAAAATTTTAATACCTATTTTTCTTAATATTTTATGGGATTGCATTAATTTTGGTTGCTTTATACATCTTTATCATATTTGATATTATTTCTAGGCCGATAACGATGAAGACGAAGAACTGGTTGTTAAAGTACCCAAAAAGAAACCTGTAAAAGTAGCGGAGGATACTAAAAGCAAAAAGGAACACGTCAACGTTGTTTTCATAGGACACGTGGGTAAGTATAAGAATATTTATAAAAAATATTTAATATAAATATAGTAAAATTATAGAAGAGTTATTCTTAGAATATATTCTTAATAAAAGCTATCGATAATTAGATGACATATATCTGATGTATTGCAGATGCTGGAAAATCAACTATCGGAGGCCAGATCATGGCGCTTACGGGGATGGTTGACAAACGTACCTTAGAGAAGTATGAGCGGGAGGCGAAAGAAAGAAGTCGAGAAACATGGTACTTAAGTTGGGCACTGGACACAAATCAAGAAGAAAGAGAAAAGGGAAAGACTGTGGAAGTAGGGAGAGCCTACTTTGAGACAGAACGAAAGCATTTTACAATATTAGACGCACCCGGCCATAAAAGCTTCGTACCGAATATGATCGGCGGCGCGGCGCAAGCCGATTTAGCAGTCCTCGTTATCTCCGCAAGGAAAGGCGAATTCGAAACGGGCTTCGATAGAGGGGGTCAAACGAGAGAGCATGCTATGCTTGCTAAAACCGCGGGTGTCAAACATCTGGTTGTATTAGTAAATAAGATGGACGATCCTACTGTCGAGTGGGATGAGGGCAGATACAATGAATGCAGGTATGCATCATGCATACAAAGTTCAGAAATACATATAGAGATGGAATACATATAGAGATTCTTTATTAGAACTCATTCTACGGGTGATTTTATTTACAAAAATTAATTGATAACAGAATGAAAATTATTATAGGAGAAAAAATTATTAAAGCTATTACGATTGCTTTTAGTTCCTTTAAGTAAACTTCGCTTAACTCATGTTCTGATTATCAATAATAATTTTGTACATATAGGTATTTAGAGAATAGAGAAACATTATATAATGCATCTTTCAGGGATAAGATACTGCCATATCTTCGTAAATTAGGATTCAATCCTGCGAAAGATCTTACATTCATGCCAGTTTCTGGTCAGCTCGGTATTGGCTTAAAGGATCCGATACCCGAACATCTCTGTAATTGGTACAGCGGCCCACCATTCATACCTTTTATCGATTCGCTACCCTCGCTTAACCGTAAAAGCAATGGACCCTTTATCATGCCGATCGTCGACAAATACAAAGATATGGGAACAGTAGTAATGGGCAAGGTCGAAGCAGGAGAAGCCAAAAAAGGACAGTCATTGCTCGTAATGCCAAATAGGGTATGTATATTTTTTATTTGGAGGAGAGAAGCGATATAATTGTTGTTCCGAATTATTATCTTATGTTATATGATGTAAAACGTTTGTTTCTTTAAGTTCTATTTCAAACAAAATTTGAAATCTAAAAAGAATGAATATACAAATTTTTTTCTATAAATGAAAAAAACTATTGAAATTAATGATCATTATTTCAAGTAATGACTTTAAAATTATAGTTTTATTTTCAAGTATATCTAATAAATACAATGCATCTTTACATCGATTTAATACAGAAAAGTTATAATTTATTTTAAATGAATTATATTTTATAATTTATATTTATAATTTTATAATTTTATATTTTATATATAGAATAATGTGCTTATGAAAATTTTATTAAAATATTTTATTAAAATATGAAATGTGCAGACGGCAGTAACAGTGGATCAGCTGTGGTCAGATGACGAGGAAGTAACGTCTGTCGGACCTGGAGAAAATGTGAAGATCAAGCTGAAAGGCATCGAAGAAGAAGATGTCAGTCCCGGATTTGTTTTATGCGACAGTAACAATCCTATCAAGACCGGCAAGGTCTTTGACGCGCAAGTAGTGATTCTGGAACACAAGAGCATTATTTGCGCGGGATACAGTGCGGTCATGCATATTCATTGCGCCGCGGAGGAAGTCACGGTAAAAGCACTCATCTGTCTGGTGGATAAGAAAACGGGCGATAAAAGTAAGACGAGGCCAAGGTTCGTCAAACAAGATCAGGTGGCTATAATGAGAATCGAGTGTGCGGGAGTTATATGTCTCGAAAGATTCAAGCTATTCCAACAAATGGGCCGGTTCACTCTTAGGGATGAAAGTAAGTATGACGATGATGATGATACAACATTTTTCTTTTTCTCTATCATGCGGTCTTCTTTCTGTTTGCATGCGCGATTGCGATAACTTTTATACGCGATTGCGATAACTTTTATACGAACATATATGTTTGTATGATTTCAGATAAAACTATCGCAATTGGCAAGGTGCTGAAGGTCGTCGAATAAAAAAATCTGCTTAAATGTTACGACAGATTAATAATAAAGAAAAAAAATGATCATTATTTCAATGTGAGAAATGTGACGATGCAAGGCGAGCACACGAGATATTAAGCAAACCAAACGGGCATGAAATTCTGGTGAATTAGTAATAATGTAACATATAACACAACTCACACCTATGTACCGCAGAGCTATACAATACGTGCGTCCGCGTGCTAAAGACGCAACGGGTATGGGGCGGGGGGTGGGGGCGGGAGAAAGGAAAAAAATATTTATAGCCTGATACAAGAGCAAATAGATTCGATTATATAGGTAAGGAGACATACCAATCGAAAAACTCAAGAGCGTGTGTTCCTTTTATTAGATAAACTGAATGGTGGTACTTGCATTGGAATAATTATAAACGGATGATAATGATCAAATAATTAACCGTGTCTCCTTGATAATAAAACAAGAAAAACACGATATTTTTATTCTTCTGAGGTGCGACACACGGAAGTGGAGTAAGTGATTGATATCGATTGCGGATTAACATTAAGGAAATATATGATTAATATTATAATTATTATTGAATAATTATTATTAAAGTGGTGGTAAGAGTTGGAAAAGAAAATTTATTGAATAAATCAACAAAATAGTGTTACACAACAATTTATAATTATAAAATTAATATTACAATTATTATTATACTGTTTCTTATTATATTGTCATTAAAAACAAATTTGCAAAAAAGTGTGCCCTGATAATTTTGATAGGGACGTGGATGTACATTACATGCATCCCTACTACATGACAGATTTTATATATATATAAAATTATATATGTATATAAATACATATATAATCAGACAAATGGAATAAATGAAGTATAGCACATGAGATTTGCAAATCAAAGCGCAATATTTAAGTGCGCACCACGCGTATTTTATTTTGTCTATATTTTCTAATTCAAGTCTAGTAACTTTAAACTTGTTGAAGTTCATAATATCTTGACTGCAAAACAAATAGAAGATAGATAAGAAAGAAGGAATATATAAATTTAACTCTCTCTCTCTCTCTCTCTCTCTCTCTCTCTCTCTCTTCTCTCTACTATATATATATATATATATATATCAATTTCTTTTAAAGAAAAAGGAACATTTTTTCTACATAATAGGATATTCGCAATGTACGTGGATGCAGTTACCTCTTCTCTTGCTTTTGTAACAATTTCATCCTTATGATTAGAGTATTCGCCAGATTGACACTGGGATTTATTTATATCGAATGTAAATTTCAATTTCAAAATGATGGGTATCTACTTTGCTTGCGTATTTTTTGTTATATCTTTTTTCTCTTTTTTTAATAAGCTCAACATCGCTTTTATATCATTCATTCATTTCTATTTGTATAGATTAACTTTAATCTCGGTTTAATTTACTCTCTTTCTCTTTCTCTCTTCTTTTTTTTTTTTTTAATTAGAACTAAGAAAAAGATAATAAGTAAATTAAACCAAGATTAAAATTTAATATTGCAACTTTTTATCGAATACGAATAATTTTAAGGTAATGAATTTAGTTATTTTTTTTATTACGCACTCTTCTTATTTTTCCTTTCCTTTCTTTCTTATTTTTTTCCTTTCCTTTCTTTCTTATTTTTTCCTTTCCTTTCTTTTTTTCATTCTACTTGGATTTTCCGCACAAAAATTTCTCGCTCTTCAAAAGAAAGAAAGATATACAATGCAAGTAAGAAAGATATCTACGATTTGTCTCCAACTTTCTGTGTACATATTTATTCCGCTTGGATCGCAGAAGGTTGGACATCCTGCGATTGAAAATGGAATCCGCGTACAAAATTACGATACTCGAGATGCTTTCCTGAAATATACTGACAATAATAAAAATCTAAAGCATACATGAATTATACATTTAATATCAGTACATTTTGGCACGCATCTTCGGAAAGTCGTTTTTTATTTTTTCTATTTTTTTTTCTTTTTCTTATCTTCAAGAACACCCTGGACGCCGAAGAATTATTCGTTCGAAGTGCTGGTCATTGTGGATCCGGGGCCAGTTTTGCGTAGCCAAGCTTTTGGAGTACCTCCTTGATCTCGAGAAATACTGTTGGATCTTCGATCGTGCTTGGAATCTGAAAGGCACAATTAAAGTTGATGATGTCGGTAAATAAATGAATTAAACAATATCTATTTTGAATCCGGATGGAGTATTATTATATCAAATGGGAAGCTGAGATCTATAATGATGTAAGTTAGAAATATTCAAAAATATAGAATATGAAATGAGAAATCATACTTTAATATACAAAGAAATACCAAGGTATTCTTATATTGATGAAAAGTAATTTCCCGCGCGTGCCGCGCTCGTAATTCTTTATATTTAATTCTTTATTCCTTATTCCCGTTTTTTTATTATATGTCCGAGATTCCTGTTCTGACTTATTCATACCTTGATTTGTTTCGACCGCGCCAACATGGCGATCGATTTACGGATTATTTTTCCGGAGCGCGTTTTAGGTAACGCGGTGACAGCGGCGGCGGTGCGAAAAGACGCGATTGGCCCTATCATCTTCCTCACCAGCGCGACTAATTCTTGGTTTATTTCTCCTTCGTTGTTCATCGCGTCTAAAAGAGAATATTTTATTAAGCTTTATGTCTCTAAATTTAATAACAACTATATTCTGTGACTTTTGATTAAATCTCACCGCGATAATCTGAATATCTATATCAATGAGGTAAGAAAAAAGTTCCATAATAGAAATTCTTGTAAAATACTTTGAAATGGAAATTTTTTTGACAATAAAACATTTTCAAGCAATAATACAATAAAATATATTGGAAATTCCTTTTTGACATCGGTAATTGAAAATGACTGCGGTGAGTCATCAGGAGTATTAATTCAACAAAAAGCATCTATAATTATAGAGTAAAAAAATTTTAATTAAGTTGCAATATTGTTTTTATTTTTGATGATTTCAAATTAATATTTTAATCCTTTAAATAATTTTTAAATATTTAAATAATCCTTTAATAATTTTTAAATATTTAAATATTTAAATATTTTTAAATATATTAAATATTTTATGTACATGTAATTATTGCATAATAATTTGAAAAATTTTGATTAAACATTGATTAATTTAATTAATGGTCAACCGAGAAAAAATATACATAATTCATCATTCCTAATCTCTAATCTTTCTTTTTGTGTATCGAATAACAAAAAATTAATTATTTTTGTCGTTAAAATAATATACGTGTTTGATAATTCAATTGCTAATTAAATTGATTATATTTTTTGAAATGTTAATGATAGCGTTAATGATGAAGCGTTAATAGATAACAATTAGAACGCCAATTAATGAAATCAACGAGCAATTTAATCAATTGAAGTATTTGCAAAATTTCTAACTATATAATTTGTTATTCCTAAAAAGTCTCTAGTTCTAACTAAAATTAAAATGTTCTCTAATTTTTTTGTTTCCATGTTACAATACAACAGTAAATTAATTACTAAAAAAAAAAAAAAAATATATAAATGCCTATCAAAGAAAGTAGCGTAGAATATTGTTTGAGTTATTCGGAATTTGATCGAAATCATCATCTCTTAATATTGAATTACATTGAAATTGATGTATGTGGGAAGTATTTACTGACGCCGAGTCGGCACTAAAAATAATAAGGGGTTCTTTCAGGATATTCCTCAAATATACGAACCTTCTCTTCTAACGTAAAGACACAGCGGGACTTCTCCCTTCGTATGATCAGGTACACCCACAACCGCGGCGTCCACCACATTGGTATGAGCTAGAATAATATCCTCTAACGCAGCCGTGGATATTCTATGGCCAGCCACGTTTATAATATCGTCGTCTCTCGCTGTGACATAAACGTAACCGAATTCATCGATATATCCCGCGTCCATCGTGTCATAGTAACCCTACAAAATTATCAGAATCTTTATCAGAGCTCACGATCGAGATAATTGACATCGATTTTACCAATAAATTTCTAGGAAATTCAAGTTAAATCTCTCTTTCCTTCTCTCTCTCTCTCTTTTTATAAGTCTTTTTTATAAAAATATTAATTATGTCAAATATCAATTGGCATCAAATAGCAATTACGTCAAATATTAATAGCTTCAGAATTTCAAGCGAGAGTGTGAGAAGCTTTCAATTTCTCAAGCGTCATACTTATGAGTGCGAGTATATATTTTTAATATATTTAATATATTAATATAATATACTTACCGGGAATCTCGAGAAGTATACTTGCTTGAATTTCTCGGATGCTTGATAAAGGGTCGACATACATCCAGGTGGCAAGGGTAATTTTATCGCGATACGTCCGAGTTCGTGTTGCGACGCCTCACTTCCGTCCTCACGCAGGATGTGTACTGTTGACAATGAATTTATAAGCAACATTGGACACGCGCGACAGCAAAATTGTTTAAACGAATAATCGAACATAGCGTAATAATAAAAATAATAAATAAAATCTTGAAAACGAGTGCGAAGACTTACTATCATATCCAGGTATAGGAAGTCCTGTACTGAACTTGGGCAAACTGGCATAGTGACCGTATCCTAAGCACAACGCTGTGATGGGATGTCCAGTTTCTGATTGCCACCAATTGTTTAAAATGGGCACTTTAAACGTTTTCTCGGCCCAGGCTTTTGTTTCGTAATCGCAAAATTCTCCAGCTACGAATATTGTTTTTAAGCTGAAAGAAAAATGTATAGGGAATTTATTTTTTTTATTTGTCTTTACAGGAAACAATTGCATGTACTAAAAAAAAATTTGCATCAGTATGAATAATACATGTTAAATATTTCTGTTAAATTATATGTAGTATGAGAAGATGGCGTCGCTTGTTTTTTCTTTTTCTAATTGCCGCATAAGAATTTAATAATATAATATATTGAATAATATAATGAAATAATGAAATATTATGATCGGAGAAGCAATCAAGAATTTGAACTTTGAAACTTACGATTTTAACGAATATTTCTTTCCTAATAGCGTTTCCGGATCCGCCCGTCTTATAACTCGTAGAGCAGTAGGCACACAGAATAACGCGTTTACATTATGTTGCTCAATGATTCTGGGAAAAGATAATCTTTTTTAAAATAAATTATCGGTGCTATCCAATTATTAACATATATTTCATTTGCAAAAGTGCAAAAGTTGCTAAAGAATCTGAGAGAAAATATAGATTTTTGTAACGATTATAAAAAAAAGTGGTTAAAAAATGTGGTTAAAAAATTGGCCATTGTTTTTTTACTGATTTTTGTATTAATCCTTTCATTAATTAGCTTGAAGAAATTACTTGACTTTTTAAATTGCATTACTTTCTCTCAAGCAATGATTGTAAAAATTATAAAGTTATAAAAATTTTTTTATTGAGAATAAGTGAAATTTTTTCTTCTCGCGGTTATCAGAATGCTTTCTCGTATTTTTTTTCAAAGCAACATTGCTGTAATAAAAAAGTATTTAAACCTGAAATATTGACTAGCATCTGGAGTCCTGTCGGGTTTTCCTTCGTACATCACGCTCGTTACGCCATAGAGGAGGGGACCATAACAAATGTAGGAATGCCCGACAACCCATCCCATATCTGAAGCCACCCACCAAACGCTGTTTTTGTTCATTCCATAAACCATTTTCATGGTCCAGCATAGCGTCGCCAAGTGACCGCCTATTGGTCTTATAATTCCTTTCGGTTGTCCTAATATAAAATATTTCTATCAATCCCATAATAGATGATTTCTATTAAATAAAGCTAATCCAGAAAGTGTAAAGCAATTAAATGCAAAAAGAAGAGTTTTGGTGAGGTATCTAACAATGAGTGAAGTATCTAACAATTTGGTCAGATATAGATCTGAAAAAAAAATTTTGTTAGACTATCATAAAATAATTATGTAGAACGTTGAGTGTGACTTAAAAATTTAGCCAGATATAAATCTGAAGATAATTTTGAAGATAATTTTTAATCTGAAGATAATTTTAAATTAAATCAAAATAATTATGTAGAACGTTGAGTTTGAAAAAAGGCAGAAGGGAAAATTTGTACATTTTAATGATTTTGCTGATAATTTAGGAAACAATATATAAGAGACAATCCTCTACTTTATTGGTATCTGGAGATGTTGAATTTTTTTCTATCTATCTGTCAATTATTAAATATATTGTATTCTAAACGAAGCTTACCTGTAGTTCCTGATGTGTACAATATATACAGTGGGTCATTAGCTTCAACCATCACGCATGGATGAGGCTTCGATCGCTTCATGAGATCATCCCAGTCGAATTGTGACTCGATTAACGGGGCTTCCCATACGTTTCTTCTTTGAAATACAATACACTTCGGCTTTGGTACAGTGATCATGTCCATAGCGCCGTTTAACATAGTAGTATACCTGCATTTTGAGTTACGTAAGTTAAAAAGATGATTGTAAAAATGCAGAAGGTTATGTCGAGAAGCTTTCTAAAAATCCTTGAAAGAGTTTTAAACAGAAATATTTTTGAAAGGCATTTGGCAAATCTCATTGGATTCGATTTGTTAAGGAAAAATGAGATTGAGAATGGAATTATGTTTGTATATTCAATATTATATAATATTAACGCAATTCTTTTACTAGCATATTTTTCTTACATGTTAATATTAACATGAAAATGTACATTTAATATTTTTCTTAGAGGCGTTTTTAAGAATTTGAATTTTAAAAGAATTTTTGCATAAATAATCTTTTTAAAAATTTGTTTTTACAAAATCTGAGAATAAAAGAGACATACTTAATGACTTTGGACGGTTCTAAACCGCAACTCGCGGCGATAATAACCTTCGGTTCGGCATGATCTACTCTAGACGCCAATTCGTTTGCTGCGAAGCCTGAAATGCACAACATTTATAATCACATTGTATTAGCATCGAATGGGTAATTACTTGATAATTGAAACATTTTATGACTTGAGCAAGATTTCTATATCGCCGTTACAGCGACTTATTTAAAAAAATGACATAATATGCATAAGAAAAATGTATACAATAATTTTATATATTTTATAATTTTTGAAGAATCGAGATTAATCTGACAGATAATTTTTTTATTAAAACATAAAAAAAAATAAAAGATGTCACAAGTAAATGACTTATTATTTCGAAAATATTTTGGATAAATTATTTAAAGAAGTCTGAAGCGAAGTTTTTACTTCGTCTTTCTATATTTTTAGTTAGAGAAATAAAGAATAATCAATTATGAATTAGAAAAAGGAATGATAAGATGATAAAGTAGATAATAGTAGAATTATTCATCTTTTGGGCTGATAATAAGTAAAAATTTGATATCTAATTCATCAAATAAATATCTTTTGATAAATTTGATGTTAAAGTTTTATTTATTATCAAATGTTTTTGATAATAATACGTAACTTTTTTATTTGATTTTAATTTGTTTATGAAAATAGAGGGAAAAATCTATTTTTAATTCGTCTTAATCCACTTTCAATTTATTAGTTTGTTTAGTAAGTCTTTAATAAGTCTGAAAAAATGTATCATTATTTTTACGTCATGAAAAAAATTAGAAAAAAATCATCAAAATCACCGTAAAATCATTGTCTTACACCCCTTCTCTCTTATCTCAGACACATGTGGTCGGACGTCATGAAAATGTTAGCATCGCAGGATTTCACAGGATTAAATATATCTAACGTTACATTTCGTACATATTTTATTAATATTTGCGCGATAAAGATGGAAGATATTATGAAACTAGGAGCGAAATGAAACTTGATTCACGCAATAGCCGCGATTACCGTCACCTTATTATTACCTCCAAAGACCACCGAGTGAATCGCCCCGAGTCTGGCGGTGGCAAGAATCGCGATTATAGTCTCGGGGATCAGTGGCATGTATATAATCACCCTGTCCCCTTTGCGCACCCCCAGATCCGCCAATGCGCCCGCCAGCACGGATGTCTTTTCCAGGAGCTCGTTGTACGTCACTTTACGTATTAACGACGTTTGGGGGCTGTCGTGGATGAGGGCTGTCTTCTCTCCGTACCCGGCGCGCACATGGCGATCCACCGCGTTGTAACAAGCGTTCAATTCTCCACCGACAAACCTGCATGATGAAAGCGAATTTTCTACAGCGTAAGAAACCTTTTGTACTTTCGCGAGGCCAATTAGAGAGATTTCTGTTTATTAATTATTTCTTATGTCAAGCTCTTTGGAGCGCGTGGAGTGCGTCTATCCATGCAGAACAGGATGCTTACAACAAAATTTTGTATTTAAAAAGCTATTATGAGTAAAAAAAGTCATGAATATAAAATCAATGATCAATGATTATCTTCTAATTTGTTTATAAAAATGTATTATACTTGATTATGAATTACATTTGGGAATGGATCAAAGATTTTTTTGTTTAAATGAAGGTATGTAAACGATTACATGCCCAATTTGGCTGCATTGGTTTTTCTCTGGTTTTTTTCTCTGGTTAAAATAATAAAAAAAATAAGCTTTTAAAAATATTTTTTATTGATATATAATTTTGTTTTTAAACTGATTATATCGATATATAATACAACAAAAATATAAACTATATAAATTATTTGTTTTCTATTTACTATTTGTTTTGTGATTTTTAATTTAATCGGAAAAGATAATAAGCATGTTCAGATTTTTAACAAATAATGTGAATTGCTGTAAGTCATGCAATTCTTTCAAGATTAGAGATGTATATATAACAATTCTCTTAGAAATACCATTTTGTGAACGGTTCGTTGGAATTGTCCAAGACCTTTTCCCAGCGTTTGTTCCAATCAATACAATCACCAATTTCACCCCAAAATTCTTCCGGGCATTCCAATGATTTCTTATACGCCTCTTCATACGCAGAACACTCGTTTCGAAGAGGACTCATAATATAATCTGTAAGAAAATGATAATTATGGTAAGATTATGGTGATCTTATCACGACGTACAAAGTACGGCCGTCGGCTACCTTTGATCTTTGACGAAACTTGCAATCTCGAAAATTATCTTTAATCACGTTACAAGAAAATGTGAAAGGAAACTGTGTCAAGAGTGGTGTCTTGCCAAACTTTGCCAGAAACATTGTTTCAGTTCAGCTCAGTATTTGCATTAGTACTTGTCATATTGCACCAATAGTAACTGTGTATTATGTAAAGATGTTATTTTTTGTTTAAAAGATAAAAAAAATATTTTAAATTTTCTTACGCGGTACGTTTTGCCTATCATGATTTGCTTATCACTTTCTTTCTCGAATAAAATGTAAATGATTTAGAGTTATAATCATTATTTTTTTCGTATTACTTACTGAAGAAGGCTCAGTGCAGCCCGAAATGTTTAAGTTAATTATTAGGATTAAATGTACTATCGATTTGCGTTTTAAGTTTTTAGTATATATTTCAATATATAAGCTATTTTTTTAAATGTAATTATTTATTCTTTGTTTTTGTCTCTCTCAAGTTGTTATATATTTTACGAGCTTTGACATTTCATTTATTTTTATAATCATTATGTCTTTACAACTTGACATTAGAAATGTAAATTATCTCTTGAAAAGAGATAATTTACATTTTTTATGTAAATTATATTACAATACATATTTTTTTCTATACATTACTTAATTTTATATATTCTTGGCGCTACGAGTGTTACTAGCGCTACTTTTTCCACTGTATTGTCAAAGTACATTACATATTACGTTGACGTAAATTTTTGCGCGCCGATATTCCTCAATTTGTCTCTTATTCAGATTACGTTAAGGAGTCTAAAACTCTTTCTTACTGACATATAACTTATCCTTTTACAATCTTTTTTTATTAATTATCTAGTCTACGTGATCTCGTTCGTTTCTTTCCTTTTTGTCATCTCGGTTAATTGCCATGAGATAATTGACGAAAGCAATGGAATCTCATGGCATAAACTTAAAATATTTTTTAAACATCATCTTGGCATAATGATACCGGCTCGTCGACACTTTTTACCCGGCATGAATAATTCATTTTACCCGTCGCGTCGCGCATGCATCGCGCTTTACACGAAGAAGTTCGTAGCAATTTTCTGTCTGGGCCATTTTCCTTCAACGTGATCTCACCCACGTGTTTGTTTTCACGTATCGTGAATTACGAGGATACGCCGCGCGACCCACGCTGCCTTAATACAATCCCGTGCCAGTGAGGTCGCGAATATCTGAGAGAGAATTGCAGGAGAGAGAGAGAGAGAGAGAGAGAATCATCATGGACCGTTCTTTTCGTCTTTTTGTCTCGTCTCACTTCGATTCCACCCCGAGTAACTACGCATCGTCGCACACCTCGGGGACCGCCACCGCGATATTTATCCGTTACCAGAGAAATGTAATACGACTGGGGAATGCTGACTGAAAATGAGATGCAGAGAACATTTGGAATGTTAGTTTGAACATTTTATGACGCGTGAATTGTGCTTCTTTTCCTGTTTTATTTTTCTTATTTAACCCTTATGAAAATAATGAAATGCATTTCTCTCCTTTCTCACGTCAGTCTTTTTAATGTTCCTTTAAAATTTTTTGAATACTAATATTCTAAAAATTGTCATAAATATTCATAAATTATCATGTTTTAGTGATATTTTAATCAATTAATATATTTTTATTTATAATTTTATAAGAACATTTTTTCAGAACAAACAAATTATAAATCGTTTTAAGTCAGATCTTAAGTAATTTTAAAATTCCATTCAATCAATAAAGCAATCATACAACATTTCATAATTGTACCTAGAACAATCTTGAAATATTTCTTTTATACAATTATATATAAAAAAATAATCTTATACAAAATGCAATTATCATTGTAAGAGTCGAACAATTATATTAATTATATAATATTTTGTCAACTAGTCAACTGAAAAATGATTGCTCAAGTATTTTCTTTTTTATTAACTTAAATAAATAATAAATCATATTTTTAATAATATTTTTTATATTTTTGAAGTATTTAGAACATCTATAATTAATTTAAAGTTTGCAATAAATTTCTATATATAATTTTTATAATACAAAAATATCAAGATTATAATAATTATAAAGTTAAGATCGACAGAGTTCATATAAAGCTAATGAGTGTTTTCCATTTAGTGATACAAGTCGACATAAGTCGTCATTCTTTATTGGCATTCAATAAGTAAGCGACAAGAACAAAACGATACTTGTATCAACTTATGTCATTAAATGAAAAGCCCTTAATAGTAAACAAAATTATTTAATCAAAATATTCATGTAATTATTAAATATGTAAAAATTATAGTTGCATATTTATAATGTACGTAACGCTTAATTTATTAATATAAATCAATATAAACGACATATTGATGGCCGATTCTAGTTAATATTTGTTACATTTAACTTTATGTTTATTAATTTTTGCTAATTGCAAAAAATAATTATATATATTATTAAGAAAATTATATTGAAAAAAATACTTATAGATTTTTAATTTGTGCGCATCTTAATTATTGTTTTTTATAAAATTTATATCCTTTTTTTATATTTGCAAATAACAAACACGAGAAATCATAAATATCTCGTGTAAAAATGAAAATATAACGATAATTTATAGTAAAATGGTATATTTGTAGTATCTTTTTTAAATACATTAGATAAATAGAGCATTTATTTATGTGTTGATACTTTTTCTCTACCGCATGCCTTTTTAAAAAATATAATATCTCTTATGTTTATTCCACGGTTACTAAGTTAAATATTTCATTCGGAAATCATTGTTTCATTGCTACATTATGTCAATTATTCAAGTCAAGTTTAATTTGCATGATTGACATAATGTAATAACAATGAAAATAAATAATTATCAGAGATTGATGATACTTTCAACGGTACAGAATTTCCAATTGTATCTCTTTTTTTAGTTAGGGTCGTTAATAGCATTTTTTTAATCAATTTGAAAAACGTTCGCTTCCTACCCTCTAGATTTAGTTCACTCCCTCGAGAAATTTCTTCTGCCGTTACACTCCGCTTCTCTCTCTTTTCCCTGTTGCGTGTGACTTCCGTCTTAGAGCATACCGCATAGAGCATAGATGTATAGATTACTTTGCAAAATATCTGATATCAACATATAATATTTATACAATAAGGCACAGTAGGAGATAGAAATTATTCAGAAATTGAGAAAAAGCGAGGGGAGGGGAGAAATTGTTTTTAAAATATTACGTGTAAAGTGTCCTCTGACGAGAGCAAGCCACAGCTTGAATCTGCCAGCGATGAATATTTCAGCTTTACGTTCTCCTTCACAAACATATCTTCCGCGAAAGTTCTCCGGGGATTTGGGACCGAGGAATTCTCAGGATGTGTGGTACCTTATTTCAAAGAAATAGGAAACTACGTAAGCCGGAAACAGCTATATTAGAGTGAACTCAACTCGCAGAGGCGAGTTCTTGGCAATTGCGAGGCAAAGTTTTAGCGGATTGCAATGAGCAGTCTTTGGATTTGCGTGGTCAGATCTGAGTTATTGTGGTCAAAATTTAGTATTTGTCTGATAGAAAGGTGGGATAAACTTTTACACGTCTGGCTTTAGATCTTAAACATGCCCGTCTTATAATACGTCGACATGCGCGGTCTTTACATAGGAGATTAATAATAAAATAAGCACGCGGGCAAGACACAAGTTTGTATGATTGACAAGAAATGACCGTAAATGTAAGTTGTTTTCTGCCGATCGAGATGATTTTTGTTCTTATAAATAAACTTTGCGGATTTATTTCTGTATAAACGTCAACGGTGAGATTAATATTAAATTATTATAAGTCAATATTAATGACGATACTATTTATATCGCTTATCCCCGGAATAAGTTTGGCTCTTCTTTCGCACACAATGCTCGCAGATACAATCACATATTTGCTAAAACAAAACAATTTTGTTGACATCTTAATAACTGTATGCATACTAACATTTTTTATAAATTTATATAAATTTATATAAATTTATATAACTTTTACATAGGAAGATTTATAATATTTTATCGTTGGTATTAATAAATTAAATTTCTCAGATCTGATAACGTTTTGAGACCGAATGATTACCGATGCATTGAAAAATATATAAAGATTAGATTTGAACTTCCGTTTGATGATTAGAAATGCCGAATTTCTTTACTCAGATACATCGATCGTTATTTCTTTTTATATAGAAATAAGTTCGTAGAAGCTGAAATAAGAAATATAACAACAATATTTTCTCTGCTGTTTATCTGCTGTTTGTATCTACTATGCTCTTAATTCGTATCCACTCTATAATTTATAGTATTCTTGTAAAGAGGAATGGGTGGAGGTAGGGAACAATATAATGCAGGAACGGGAGAACAGATGCGCCCAATAATTTAATTCAAGCGTTAGGTAGCGTCAACGTAAATCTCCGTTTCCGGTGAAATCCACTGCGATCTGCATTAATCGAGCGAATATCGAATAAAATTTGAATGCGTAGTAAAATAATTTGTAAGGTATTCAATGTTAAGACTGTTACTGTACTGCGTAAATAGCGATTCAACAGAAATGTAAATTTTTATTACTCTTTTATTACCCTTTCATTAATCGTGAGCGAGAAAGGTATATCGCTCTGTCTAAATATACCTATTTTCTATTCTCGTAATATTGCCAATATTGCGAAATATTGATAAATGCTTTTACTGGACAATTTAATTATTTTCCGCGAGAGAAAGGTTAAATTGGCAAATCATAAAAGTTACTAAAAGTCTCACTCAAAATATCCAATTTATTTGAAAATAAAAGGAGTGTCTTATTTAAAAAAATAAATTACTAGAAGTTAAAAGAAGTATAAATTATATAAAGATATTAAATTACAATTTATAATCTCTAATATAAAAAATAATAATTTAGCTAATAATTATGTTGCCAAATGTAAATCAATTAAATCAGTAAATTAAGTTACTCTAATTGATAAATATCTTGTATCAATAATCTAATTGTCAATATATGTTACATACTTAAATAATAAATACAAATGTTTGTTAATTTATGTTGTAATTTATAACTATATAATGTGTAATTTCTAATTTATCTATGTTCTAAGTAGGTTATTATTTTTTTAAACAGTATGAAATTCATTTTACGGAAATGTAAATTGAAATGATCGCTGATAAATATCTATATAATTATTATTCATTATTTTATTGTTAATCAATTTTTAATTATCCCTTTTTTAAAAACTATAATAGATGATCAGAGTTTACCCACAGTTTAAATTGTCACAAATTGTCCCCACTTGACAAAATATCAAAGCTAAATTTTATTCGAACTACTTCGAAATTAATCTGATGAGAGAATATCATATACTGAATATCATTTGCACATTTAAAACTTATTTATAAGTTTCTTCCACTGCTCCAAGCTAAGTTTTCCATCACGTTACAAAAATATGTTTAGAGGGGGAATATATGCTTATATGTAATACAATTTAGAAACATATGTTTAAATGTTATTTTTATTTATGCATGTTCTTATTAGCATTGTTCTTATATTATATTATTTATCAACTGCAGTGTAATGCAAAACATCAACATTTCTTAAAATTAAAATTTTAAATAAAATTTTATACAGAAAATATAAAATGCAATGATAATGACACGTGCACAATCTACATCTATATTATCTGAATTTATATAATTGATAAGTAGAATCGTGCATGCAATATTTTTTCTGTAAATTTAATACACAGGTAAATAAAAAAAGTACTAAAGATAAATTGAGAAAATAAATAATTCAAAGGACAACTAACATATTTTCAAAAGGATAATTAAATTTAGTAAAATCGCATTGTCAGCTTCCAATAAAAGGAAAATTGAACTTTATCTGTTTATTAAAAATTTATTATTTATTAATTAAAATGTTAAAATATAGTTAAAATAAGTTAAAATATAATTAAAATATAGTTAAAATATAGTTTAATCTTGCTAAAGCATAAATGTCTAAAGTGTTGATAAAATTTTTAATTCGAAATACAGATACCATACAAATTGAATGCTGAACTAAATTAATTGTATTGCTTGAATATTTACGTATTTCGACAATCAAGAAAAAAATAATTTCTTTTCAATTAAATAGTCAAGCGACGGGAAGTGCCGATCGTTAACAACAGTATTAAATGCAAATATCAACTGACGTGTTCCGTTAGTATCTTGCTCCGATAATAACTAACAGTCTAAATAAATAAATAATAGTTTTTATTTTATCTTTATTTATTCAGATTTTTAAAAATTATATTTATATTTATATTATATTTCAATATATAATTATATTTATATTATATTTCAGTAATAATAATATGTGCAATTTACAAAGAAAATTTTAATATTTTAATAGAAAAAGTATCAATTAACAAGATATAAGATATATGCAATTGATTAAATTACTTCAAATTGATATTTGTTTATATAGTCAGACATAATTTAGATTTTTCGCAAAATGTTCACAATTATTTAGATTTTAAGAAAAAGCTGGCAAAAATATATATTTTTATTCATAAGTGATATGTGAAATATATTTTATATCATTTCATGAAATATATTTGTTACTTCCAAACAACTGGGTTTCTTTAACAGGAAATTGAAAAAAAAAAATAATGTTGATAGATGGCAATCGAATCTATATATATATATATATATATATATTGAAGAATCAGGAATCGAAAAAATTTTGACTTATGTCGACTCTATCTATTCCATACTTATAAAATCAATACATATAAATACCATTGCTATCTCCTTTTCGTGATATCCTTGGGCGCACGATGCAGGACTCCAGACATGTTTTCCCTGAGGTTTCGGACTTCGCATCCAGAAAGTCAGGATTCATTTGATGCAACATTTCACGATCGTCCAAGTCACGATCCGAATAATGTCCAAGCGCGATATTTACAGTCTGTAATAGCAGTAGCGTCTTTGTATCCACGGAGTGGGGTCCATCCACGGTCTACCGTGCGTCTATGTGCGTTTTAAGTAAAGTCTCAGTATTTATTCATAAATGCTAATGTTTTCAGCATGAACAACGCATGTTCTGGATAGATACATAAAATTAAATTTATAATAAAATTAATTTAAATTATCCATCTGTTTGCATTGAAAAATGTTAAATTCAGGCAATTATGCGTGATCATCATGCTCCGGAATATTAATTAAGAGTTATCGCTCACAGAAATTGCAATTTTTTACTATAATCTTTGATTTCTTATTAATATTCTCATTTAAGTAAATCAATGAAATATGTAAAAGTCATATTATCGCGGTAATATTTCATAGTCAAAGTTAATATATTTTAATTATTGCAAAAGATTTTCACAAGTAAAACTCATCGTACGATAATCTTTATTGTGACATTAGATTTTTACACTGTATAATACTTTCTGATTTTTTTTCTCACTTTAAGGATTCTTCGATATTACTATTATTTAATAAAATATCACTTATAATGCGGTGCGTGTAGCGACATACGCATAATATATACTTTAGGTATACACTTACAGAAGGAAGACGTGCAAGGACACGTGTATCGCAGAAAACTAAAGTCGCTGCTTTAAAACTGAAAGCCAAATATTAAAATCGTTCATCACGTGATGCATACGTTTCCTGAGTGAATATTGATCCTTGGGTCATCGTATTAATTTTAAATTATTACGGTGGCAAGTTGATATCAAGTTTTAACTGTAGAGAATTCAAGATGAATGGGATAATCTAATTGGATCCCAATTGTCCGTGTAAGGATTGTTTCTGTAATTCGTAGCTTCGATCCTAATAATATATTTTTTGAAAAAAATCATGGGTCGAGGTTTCTTTAGGAAATAATTCTTTAGGAAAGTTTATTTGAGATTGATTGATAAATGATTGCAGTTTGATAAACTTGCCTTGAAACTTAATTCGCTAAAATTCTTTTTATATATAATGTATGAAAATTATATTACATAAATATTAAAATGTTATGTTAAATATTAAATAAAATGCTTAAAATATCTATTTATTAATCTTTCAAAAATAAATTGAATTATAATCAGTTCTAAATTATTTAAATATTTAAATTAAATAAGCCATTATTTAAACATTTAAATTAAATAGTCATCGAGAATATTACAATTAATTTTGAACTATCTATATATTTATGCAAATTACAAAAATGATCATTTTCCACTCAGAAAATTATTTGATTATATAAAGATAAATTATTTATTAAATTATATAATTTATTAAATTTATTAAATTTTATTCGCTGGAATTGTAATCAAATCAGTTTATATGGATCTTATGTACGGCATCTATAAGTCGCTTATCTATTTTTCTATTAATGTTGAAAAAAGAAACATCTCTTTTCAAACAGGAAGACTACAATTCTTTATTGAAAATTTAGAAGATCAGTGAAGATTTGATATTTCATAAA